GGGGACTCTGTCCACTTACGTGCCCACGTCCTTTTCAGACCATCTTACATTTAGACCTGCGGTGTCCCCTGAAAAGCCATGTGCTGATGGCTTGGTCACAGCCTGTGGCACTTTTGGGAAGTGGAGCGACCTTTAGGGGGTGTGGCCTACAGGAAGTGGTTCCTGGGAACAAGCTTGGAAGGAGTATAGGGCTCTTTACTCCTCTGCCTCCTGTTGCTTCCTGGCTGCCGTAAAGTGAGTGGCTTCTCTGTGCCATCCACTCACCACCATGGCACTGTGTTCACCACAGGCCCAAAAAACAGGGACTGTACCCTCTGAAACTGTGAACCAAGATAGATATTTCCTAGAACAGCCATTATCAAGAAATCAAGGGGCTGGGGATTTAGCTCAGCAAGCACAAGGACCCAAGTTCAATCCCAGGTATCAAAAAAAAAAAAAAATCAAAGCAAATGCTGGGAGGCTGCAGGAAAAAGGGGCTCTTTTACATTATTTGTGGGAATGTAAGCTAATACAACTATTGTGGAGATCAGTATGGGTTTTCCTCAGAAAACTAAAACTAGAAGTTCCATCCAACCCAGCCATTCCCTTCTCCTCCAGGTATCTTTCCAAAAGAGTTAAAGACATCATACCACAGTGATCCATTCATACCCATGTTCATTGCAGCGTAGTTCATAATAGCTAGATCTTAGAAGTAGATTCTGTGCTCGTCAACAGGTGAATGGATAAAAAATGCAGCATTTATACACAGTGGAGTACTATTGTGCCATAAAGAAGGATAACTTGTCATTTGAGGAAAATGGATACAGCTCGAGATCATAATGCTAAATAAATCAGACACACACAAATATGTTTCTCTTACATAGGAATCGCAAAGTATAAATAAAAGAGTGTCTTAGTTACTTTTTCATTGCTAAGCCAAAATACCCAACACCCAAAGTTGTAGGAAGAAAGCTAACAGGTTGGGGTGCTCCCTGAGGACCCGCGTGGCATGAGTGCTGGCACCGAGATTAGAGCAGGTGTCGTGTGAGGGGCTCATCTGCCCTGCTGCCCCTGCCCGCCCCTGTGTGGGGCCGTGGGCGTGTAGAGCTGGGAACGGCTCTCCAGCGGTCGCTTGGGTGCAGGTCTGCATAGACCTGCAAGGGAGGCTGCAGACAGTGCCACAGTTGACGGCCAAAAATATTCCTAGGGGCGACGCGCTCCACCACACAGCCAGGAGTCATGGAGTCAGGGCCGCAGCACTCCCTGGTTTAATTTGTGAAACAGACATTTGCTTTATAATAATTTTCAGTATAGAAAAGTGATGATCACAGTAGAAGGGGTCAGGGTCCCGACACGCCCTTCCCCCCACGTTGCCAGGGTGTGGTCTATTTATCAGGAGGGAGGGGATCCCCTCGGAATATTCCTGTGAGCTACAAACAGGTCTGTGTCAGCTGTCACCTTGCCTTGCTCATGATTTTTTTTTTTTTGAGACAGGGTCTCACTATGTAGTTGAGACTAACTTGGAACTCACTATGTAACCCAGGCTGATCTCAAACTCAGCACTTCTCCTGCCTCAGCCTCCGTAGTTTTAGGATTACAGACCTCCATCCCTTTAAAAATTTTTTATTTTGAGACACAGCCACTAAATTGACCTGCCTGGGTTCAAATTTGTGATCCTCCTACCTCAGCTTCCTGGAGTACTGGGATTAAGTCACGTGCCATCTGCTTCGTATAGTTGGTGTTTGTCTTTTTTTTTTTTTTTTTTTTTTTTTTTCTTGCGAGGCAGGCACTGGAAGCACTGAGCTAAATCCCTGGCCCTGGTGTTTGTCTCATTATTAGAGTAGGTCAGGGGATTGAGGAAGATACGCAGGTGACGCACCCTTCTGGTTGCACTGCACAGGGGGTCTGTAAAATCTACGACATCCTTGGTGACCACAGCCTATGGCACTGCTGAGGCTGTGTGTCCCAGGTTTGTGTACAATAAGACACCCTCGGTTTAGGAGGGTTTGTTTTTCAGATGCTCAGTGGAGTTTTACTCCTACAAGAGGTCAGGTGAGTGGCGTGCCAGAGGGTAGAGGGTTGAACTGAGGGACGTGACACGGTGAGGAAGGGGAAGGTGCAGAGAGAGTTGACACAGCAGATGCCTTTGTCTTACAAACGCGTTGTCTGGGCAGAGCCCTGGGGAGAGCGCGGTGTGCACAGAGCTCTGTTCCTACCCGTGAGCATTGCACACAGCACGCCAGAGTCTGCTGCTGCAAACAGAGCTCTTGAAATAACTTAATGTCATTTAGAATGATTTTGCAGAGCAGATTTGTTTTTTAATGTTTTGGTTTTGGGGATTAAACCCAGAGCTGTTCTACCACTGAATTACACCCCAAGCCTGCAGTAGAAATCTGAAAGCCTGCTTAGCTGATATCCCATGAAAGCCATTTAATTTTTTTTTTTTTTTTTTTTTTTTTTTGGTAGTTCTTGCTGCTCAGCTATTGAACTACATCCCTGGCAGCTCGCCTTTCCCAGGACTAGGGATTAAACCGAGGCCCATGGCTCTGAGCTACATCCCCAGTCTTTTCTATTTTTTGAGACAGGGTGTGGCTGAGTCACTAAATTGCCCAGGTTAGATTTGAATTTGAGATCTGCCTGCCTCAGCCTTCAGGACTATTGGGATTACAGTCGTGTATTCCATGCCAGGCTCCCAGCCCTTTTATTTTATTGTTGTTTTGTATTTGACAGAGGCTGCCTAAATTGCCTGGGCAGATTTTAATATTGTGAGCCATCTGTCACTGCCTCCAATACCTGGGATTACTGACATAAGCAACTATACCCAGCTTCACTTCACTACTAATTTTAATTTAAAAACAGTCTTTTGGGCTGGGGATTTAGCTCAGTGATGCTGCTGCATGTCTGGCAAGTGCAAGATCCTGAATTCGATCCCGGTAACCCCCCCCCCAAGAAAAAGTCTGTCCAGAGTGGATATGGCGGCACAAGCCTATAATCTCAGCACTCAGGAGGCTGAGGCAGGAGGATCTCTGTTGAATTCCAGGCCAGCCTAGACTACACAGCTAGTTGAAGGCCATTATGAACCACATAGCCAGGAACCCCCCCCCACAAGTTGCTTTTTCATTGTGATGGGTACAGTAATACTCCAAGAACATTATTAATGCTCATTTATTCCCTCAATAAATATTTATTTAAAACTTACAATAGCTATATTTCTTCAGTTAATGAACTCAGTTTTCCTGCCTTAAAAAGAAAGCTTTTTCAGAATTCTGACTGCTTTAGCTGCTTTGTATATATTTTACTTGCATCCTAAGAATGTGAAATTTTAATTTCTCATCTCCTTTGTAAGTCTTGCTAAAGTTTTAACAGACTGCTCGGGGCATGTTTAAAACTGGTGTCATGGATCAATAAATGTTTTGTAATATTCATTAATGAGAAGACACCTTAAAAGGTGGTGAATTTACTGTCTCAGAATACTGTGAGGGTGGGCCAGGGATTTAGTTCAGCGGTTTGGTGGCCTGTCTGGCAAGCGCAAGGACCTGAGTTCAATCCCTGGTACAAAAAAAAAAACAACAAAAAACCAATACTGTGAGGGTTAGAATTTTCTCCATTTTTAGTTGTTTCAGCAAAAAATTTAAAGTTGCTTTTGTTTAGCTTTTATATTTTTAAATACATGAATCTCATTTTCCATTTATTTATTTTGGTTTTTTGAGACAGGGTCTCACTATGTAGTTGACACTGACTTGGAACTCACTAAATAGTCCAGGCTGGTGTCCCAGCGATCCTCCTGCCTCAGCCTCCTGAGTGTTGGGATTACAGGCGTGTGTCACCACACCCGGCTTCATTTTCCTTTTAGTATATACATGTATTTAAAGTACTTACAAATGCTTGGCTCAATATTCTTTTTTTTTTTTCTTTCCCTTTTTTGTTTCTTGTTTGTAAAATGAAAGTTAAAGTCATTTATAAAATTCTGTGATAAACATAATTTTAAGACATTAATGCCAGGCATGTGGCTCACACCTATGAGCTCAGCACTCAAGAAGCTCAGGCAGGAGGATTGTTTTGAGTTTGAAGCAAGCGCAGTTTATCTAGTAAGTTCAAGGCCAGCCTGAACCACACACTGAGACCCTGCCATAAAAAAGGCGATGATGGGCCGGGAATTTAGCTCAGTGGTTCCTCCGCCTGTCTTGCAAGTGCAAAGACCCAAGTTTGATCCCTGGTACCCAAAAAAGAAAAAAAAAGGCGTTGATGACATTTACTGTGAGAAGCAATCTATTCCTATAGTGATACACTCTCACCTCACCAGAAGCTCTATCAGGGCAAGGACTGTGCTGATTTTTTATTTTCCCCCAGATCTTCAACCAGTGAATGGAAACTTTGCATTTTTCAACATTTCATTATGAAAAAGTCAAACATATAGCAAGCTTGAAAGAAAACTGCAGTGAACACCTGTATCTACGCCACCTAGATTCTATCACCACCATCTTTTTGTGCTTAATTACACATCTCATCTATTTATTAAGGTACCTCATTTTGGATGCATTTCAGAGATCCTCGTAGATTATCAGGGACACTAATTTATATCAGGGACCAGAGTTTGAACTGGGGAAAGAGAGTTGAGGAGAGGCTACCGTTAGGTATCAGATGTCACTGTTACTGCCCTCACATGATGAGGAATCATGTTTTTTTCCTTGCTTTGTTATGATAGCTTTTGAGACAGGGTCTCATGTAGTTCAGGCTGGCTGGCCTTGAACTCATTATGTAGCCCAGGCTGGCTTCAAACTCACAGCAATCCTCCTGCCTCAGCCTTCCAAGTACTGAGATGTGCCACCACACCCAGCTCCGTTATGATTTCAACGCGATTGCAGCCTTGAACATCATCCATGGGGACTTCCTGGGTTGCGGGTGTCATGATGGCGTAAAGGCAGGCCGTGCTCATGTGCGGTCGCTGCCACGGCTTTGCCACCATCCTGGGGTCTCACCGCTACCGTCCCCGGCCTCACCGCTCTTCCCTCTCTGCCTAGGAGTCGCCCACCGGAGCCAGAGCAGCGAGGGCGTCAGCTCTCTTAGCAGCTCGCCTTCCAACAGCCTGGAGACGCAGTCTCAGTCCCTCTCGCGCTCCCAGAGCATGGATATCGATGGTGTCTCCTGTGAGAAAAGGTAAGAGAAGCCAGCACGCCGTTATAAAGGAGAGGATCCATGCGCTCTAGTCTCTACCCAGCAGCCTGAGCCGCCCACCCGGACCTCTGCCAGTCCACGGCAAGCTGCAGCCACATTATTGATTTATTTATTTTCCTCAGGACTGGGAATCGAATTCAGGACCTTGCACTTCCCAGGCAGGCATGACGCAACTGAGCTAAATCCCTGGCCCTGAAGCCACATTTTTAAACTGAAAGGCCCTTCTGTTCCTCTGAAATGATCTTTATGTATGTTTTGGTGTTAAATATTTTTTTTGAAATAGCGGAGCATGGTGCTGCATGTCTATAATCCCAGAACTTGGGATGCTGAGGCAGGAGGATCACTGTGAGTTTGAGGACAGCTTGGACTATAGTAGTGAGACCCTGTCACAAAACAAAACATGTCTTTTATGAAATAATGATTTGGTTTGGTTTTTTTTTTTGGTACTGGGGTTTGAACTCACGTCCTTGCGCTTGCAAGGCACCGAACTGCTGAGCTAAATCCCCGGCCCTGGTTTGATTTTTTGAGACAGGGTCTCACTATGTAGTTGATTCTGACCTGGAACTCACTATGTAGCCCAGGCTGGTCTTGAACTCACAGAGATCCTCCTGCCTCAGCCTCCCCGAGTGCTGGGATTACAGGCGTGCACCACCATGCCTGCCTTGTGTTTTTTTCTTTGTAGAGTCTTTTTCGGTGTTTTTGTTTTGTAACTAAGTGAGCAAACATAGGTTAGTCCCTAAAAATTTTCTCAGTTTTGCTGATTGCTGAAATGTTGAGTTCGGAAGGTTTCAGACAGAAGATGTGCTTTCTGGATTTCTTTAAGTGAGCACAAGGAAATGACTACTTGGGAAAAATTTGTAAATTCCCATTTAAATGGGAAGGGCTCACATTGTTAATGGCCTTTCTGGTTTCATTTTCTTGCAGCATTTCTCATTTCTGTATCTCACACATTGCTTTCTGAAGATCCTGAGAGTTTATCTCCCTCCCTCTTGCAGGGTGTAGACTCGATAAGGCGGAGATCATTTTAGTCTCTTTGCTCAGCAGTGTCTGCTCTGCCTGGAACCGCACCACTGTGAAGTGAGCACTCAATGGTACTTGTTACTGAAGCAGGGAATCCTGTGGAAAATACGAATTTTCACAGAACATGTAAATTTGAAATCAGAGTTCTAGGAGAATGTCGTTCTCTCCAAAATTGACTCAGCAAGAAAGAGAAGAACCAAATAAAAACCCATTATATCAGGATTTTAAATGTTTTTTCCAATTTACACAGATGATTAAAAGCATAGAGAACATTTGAACTCAGTTTGTGAGGCCAGTGTGACCTTAATACTAAAGCCAGACAAGAGTAATATCAAAGAAGAAAATTACGTTTTAATCACATTCACATTTACAGAACTCTTGACAAATCCAAGTCTGCAAATATATAAATACATGAAAACCAGGCTAACCCAGTGGCTTAGATGTCAATACTGGGGTCAGCGTGCTAATGATGAAAAAGAGTCAGAGGAGCTTTTGGGCTATGTGCTCATGTTCTAGTTCCCGATCTGGGTGCTGATTACATTAGCATGTTCATTTGCCACAGTTGTTCAGCCCAGCACCTTCCTATGCACGTTCCTGTACATGTATTCCAATTAAAGATTTCTTAGTAGTGTAATATAATATAAATACGCCGTGACCAGATCGCTCGGGCAGGCGAGTGCATTCGCTGTAGGAAATCCCTCAGTGCCCCCACCGTGTTACATGTTAAGGAACAGATCCTTGTGTGGGTGGCTGCAGGTCTCATGAAGCGCCTCACAGATGAGAAGGAGAAGAGCGCGTCCGGGAGCAGTGACAGGGAGCTGGCACCCCTCCCCCCTCCCCCCCACCTCATGCTCTCTCACCTGTGCAGCGGGTGGGGGAGACCGGAGGTGCATCGGATGCTGCCCTCCCATCAGACTTGACCTTGCAGGGTCAGACCTCCAGCTTTCCTGAGCCCGTGTTGGGACAGCATCTGACTGTCAAGGGCCATGGGCCCCCAAACTCCAGTGGCTGACATTCAGTGGCTAGAATCGGTCTCTGCAAAATGAGTAGCTAGAACAAGGAAGACTGCTATTTCTGCCTCATGTGGGCCCTGCCCAGTGCCGTAAGACTAAGATTGGAGTGGAAGAATGAAAAGTTACTATTTGCAGATAAGGTCGATTGTGTATGTCGTACACCTTATGGATAAGTAAACATTGCTTACAAGAACTGGTATTTAAAATCAGTTATTACTATGTGCCAAGAACAGCTTTAGAGAAGTTCATGTTTAAAAGGTAACACCTGGGTATGGTGGTGCACACCTGAAACCCCAACCCTGGTTTTTAGCATACTCTGGGTAATTTAGAATTTAGCAAGATACTGCTGTATCAGACAGTCGGTCCGTCTGTCAGTAAGGCTGGGCCATGGGTCAGTGGGAAGGCCCTGGGTTTGACTGCCGGTACTGCAGAGAAAGCGGGGTAGCATCTACTTTCGTTGCAACTGTCATACCTGGGAACAGATTTAACGAAAGAAGTACAAGATTTTTACAGAGAAAATGATAAAAGTTTATTGAAAATCTGTGCAGAAGCTCTGCATACCTGGAGAGAAATAAGGACTCAAAACCATAACAATGTCATTTGTCCCCTACTTGACCTCTGAGGGCAGTGAAGTTCTAGGCAGGATAGGAGCTAGTCAGCCGATAATCTTGAGTGTATGGAGGAGAGGACAGAGCCAAGAAGGGCCAGTCGGCTCTTGGAGTACAAGGGGGAGGCTTTGACCCAGCAATTCCAAGATGCACTGTGAGGTTTTAATAAGACAGGGTTGCCTGCAAACAGATCATCCAATGGGACAGAAACGAGCATCCAGAAATAGACCCCACATGGGTATGACAGTCGGATACATGACAGGCACTTTCTTATCAAGGTAAAAAGGACAGGCTTTTCCATAAATGGTTCTGGATAGTTACTTTAATGTGGGAGCAAAATTTAGTTCACACTGGCCTTGAACTTACCTTGTGGCCCGGGTTGGCCTTGAACTCTTGGGATTTTCCTGCCTCAGCTTCCAAAATGCTGAGACTACAGGTGTGCACCACCCCGGGTTGGCCTTGAAGTCTTGGGATTCTCCTGCCTCAGCTTCCAAAATGCTGAGACTACAGGTGTGCACCACCACACCTGACTGGGAGGAAAATAATATATACTTAACCAGTTTTGTACTTAATCCTTGCTTGTTTCTTGTATCATTTTATTTTATTTTTGGTACCAGAATTTGAACTCAGGACCTTCGCTTGCCAGGCAGGCATGGGGCCACTGAGTTACATCCCTGGCCCCCTCTCGTGTCATTTTAAAACAACAGGTCTCGAGACTCTGCTCCCCTGACTTTTGTTTTTGTTTGTTTGAAGGTAAGCCTAAGGAAACTACACCTAGGGAAAATATTTCTAACATACATGAGAGACAGGCTCTTGATATCTCAACATATGAAGAGCTCTTAAAAATAATAGAAAAAGAACTGTTTTCATTTGCTTTCGTGACTGGTTTCAACTGATTTGAACCTTTTCACAGCCAGCAGCTGTGACATGGGGGGGGCATCTCATAAAAGATGAAAGACTGAGCTGTCTTTTATGCCCACAGCATGTCCCAGGTGGACGTGGATTCAGGGATTGAAAACATGGAGGTTGATGAGAATGACCGGCGAGAGAAGAGGACACTTGGGGACAAGGTGGGTGGAAGAGGTGGCTCCCTTGGCCTTCACGCCCAGGACGCAGACAGATGTGATTCTGCGGTATCTACAGAGCCCATTCAGGGGCCCCTCACCAGCACATCCACATTGGCAGGCTTTTTTGGGGGCGGGGGGTTGAGACGGTCTCACTGACCTGGAACTCACAGCAATCCTCCTGCCTCAGCCTCCCCAGTGCTGGGATCATAGGTGTGTGCCACCACGCCCGGCAGGCTTTTCTTTTTGAGGAAGGGGCAGCCTCTCTTGCCCTTTGAAATGGAAGCATAACTTAATCCTTTCAGCTGGCAAAATCCCTCAGTAATTTTTGGTTCTGGTCCATGTTCTCATCAGTATATTTAGAGTGTAACAGGGACTGACTTTTCTGTTGGTTTCTCACTTAAGTCAGTAGATTATCACATTTTTGGATTTTTTTTTTTTTTTTTTTGGGAAATGTTGGGGAATTGAAACCTGAATATGTAAAATCCAGTAGCAAGTAAAGCTTGCATTTTGAAGTCATGAGATCTTTATTATCTCCTGAGAGCATAGATGCCCTAAACATAGGGCCTCTGGGCCTTGTTTTTGTTCTTTTTGGTGTCCATGGTATATCACTTCTCGTTCAGTAAATTATTAGGAATACTCTGAGCGACAGGTTGATGAGTAGAAGTTGGGTTGTAGCCTCCTAATGGTGCAGTACTTTAGTTTGTATCGTTTTTTGGTGCTTACAAAGTTCTTAGGTCATGTCTTTTTTTTTTCAAGAGGCACGAGAAGGGTTTATTAGAGCGAGATGGAGAACACACTCGAGTGGGGTACGGGTGCTCAGAGAAATGAGGCGTGGTTTTTATTTTATTAGAGGCTTATGTGATCCTTGAGTTGGGGTGGAATATAAGGGGAAACATTAAGTTCTGAGGAAAAGATGCACCTAAAGTGTTAGCCTGGTCCCCACCCCAGAAGGATGGTGTTTTAGGCTTTGTTCAGAGGAGCAGGGAACCCAGATCTCGTGCCTGTGCGGTTGGTTCACAGTGGGGTGCTGCCCCTCTGAGAATCGGGGGCCCCTGATCCGACAGGAGGTAGTGGGTAAATTCGGAGGAAGCCACCATCCCTCCCAGCCACCTCTGCTGTGCAGCCCCCTTCCCAACAGGCCTGGGTGACCCCTGCGGAAGAGTACGTGGGGTCGGTGTACACAGGGTCCACCTCCCATTCCTGACCGAGCCCCACTCTTGTCTGCTCCCCTCAGGAGACCTACATGTTGTCACTTCAGTTGTGGGGCAGGGTCCTTTCCCTTTTGATCAGTGGGTGAATGGTTTTAAGCATTTGAAAAATATCCTCCCTGCTGCACGACTTAAGTCTGAGTGAGGTTTTTCCCGCTCAAGTGCTTGCCTTCTGCCTCCTAGTGGACACTGACCCCAGGTCCTCTTCCACCAGGAGGGTGCCCCGGGCCCAGAAGTGTCTGAAGAGCAGGCCTTGCAGCTGGTCTGTAAGATCTTCCGCGTCTCCTGGAAGGACCGGGACAGAGATGTCATCTTCCTGTCTTCTCTCTCTGCACAGTTCAAGCAGAACCCAAAAGAAGGTAAGAGTCCAGCTCGGCTCTGTCCTTCAGAGCACTTGCAGGGAGCAGTGTGACCGAGAGCCTTGTGCTTTTCTGCGTCACGAACCCCATCTCACTTCGTGTGCTTTTAAGTGTGGTGATACTGCATGGTGAGGACGCTGCTGTTAATCATTCTGCTCCCCTGACTCCTGCCAGAGAAAACTGTGTAGCTCAGTCAGGGGCTCCATCATCCCAGGAAAGGAGACACTGAGGGAGGGGTGAGTGAGCTCCTCTTCGAAAGTGGGTTTCCTGGGTGGTACGAGGACCTCTGAGAGGGGCACTCAGGCAGTGGCATGTGTTTGATTCAGATACTTAGAAGATGGAAAATTCTGATGTTTTGCTGTTTCGAGGCTTCTCTTTTAAGAGGCTAGCTATGCTGAGCCACACGTCCAGAAAGTAATACAACTTTTAGCAAGTTGCAGCCATCTAGGGCTCTGTGGTTTTTCTTTACACCAGTCCTTTGGAATGCAGTAGAGATAGGGCTGCTCTGGGGTGATTTGCACCTACCCTTGGAACACAGTGAACTCCCTTGATACTTGTCTTTTGTTGTTGTTGTTGTTTTTTGTTTTTTTGAGACAGGGTCTCACTATGTAGTTGAGACTGACCTGGAACTCATGATGTAGCCCGGGCTGATCTCCAACTCACAGTGATCCTCCTGCCTCAGCCTCCCGAGTGCTGGGATTACAGGCGTTCACCACCACACCCGGCGATACTTGTCTTTTTATGATAGGTTCTTACTACATAGTTTAGGCTGGCCTCGAATTTACGGTAATCCTCCTGCCTCAGCCTCCTGAGTTTTGGGTTTACAGGTTTGCACCACCAAACTTGGCTCACCTGTTGGTGTTGAGCGACCCTTAGAAGTGTCTGAATACCAACGGCAAATCAACTGGGAACTGCAAAGAATAATAAGGAAGCTAAACTATAAATCTGTTCCAGAAAGCCAGATGGTGATTAAACATCAGGCCCTTCATGAAATCTTGTGAACCTTGGACTTAGTTTTACCGTATGTAGAAAGTATATTGGCTGAGAAATATTAACCCCGTTGTGTTTGTAGTCTGATAAGCCGACCTCTGTAGCTGGGAGGAACTTCGTTTATCGTTAATTATCAGCAGTATGTATTAACTCTCATTGACCTCACTCCAATTTCTTTTCAAATAAACTTTCAATTTTGGAGTAGTTTCAGGTTCAAAAATAGTTCAAGGAGCCCCTGCGTATACGTCTGCCGGTTTCCCCGAAGGCCAACATCTTTCTGACCACGGCAGTTTCCTGAAACTGAGCCATCACTGTAGACTAAACGCCAGACTTTGGGTCTCACCAGGGTCTCACTAACATGCTTTTCCTGTTCCAGAACCCGGGCAAGGACCCCTGTGAGCTGCTCAGGTTCCGGTGGGCTTATTCGAGGACGCATCCAGCCAGCGCCATGTGTAACCTGTTCTTTGCTCTGCCTTCCCAACAGTGTTCTCTGATTTTAAGGACTTGATTGGCCAGATCTTAATGGAAGTGCTCATGATGTCTACTCAGACCCGAGACGAAAACCCATTCTCCAGCCTCACCGCCACGTCCCAGCCCATCGCCGCAGCAGCTCGGTCGCCGGACCGAAATCTCATGCTGAATACCGGCTCCAACCCAGGGACCAGCCCCATGTTTTGCAGCCTGGGCTCCTTCGGTGCCAGCTCCCTGTCTAGGTCAGTGTCAGTGTGGTCCTCTTTCCTCAGAAGACACAGGGAGGAGAGGGGCGCACGTACTCCCGGGGCTGCGCTGGGTCCCAGGCGTAATGGTGTGTGTCTCACTGAGGGCAGATTTAGTCTTAGAGGTGGCACTCTACTGCATTTTCTTCTTTTAATTGAGTTTATTGGTACATTCTAGGTAGACGGTACAGTGACATCCATTACCGGGATCTTGTGCCTTTACATGCCAGGGCTTGATTCTACTACATTTTCTAAATTAGTGTTGGGCTATTGGGAGATGAAGTGTTAGAAACAAATGGTAGTGTACACTGTTATTCTTTGAAAAGGGACCTTGTCATCACCTCAGCATCGCAGCCATTAGATTAAAATTATGAAATGCTTATCTGATTTGTATAATGGAACTCTTAGAAACATGAGACACAACTGTACTGTCCTTTAAAAGCCTGCAATTTTCTGTTTTAGTTACCTCAAGTCTTTCTTTGATTTTTCTCTTCTCTCCTTCCTTTCTCCACTGATGTAGCCTCTATGACACTAGCCCAGCCCCTGCTGCCGGGCCCTGGAGCTTGGGGTCGGGAGCGAGCCTGTCCTCCACCTCCCCCTCCCGCGTGTCCCTCAGCCCTCTCGGGGTGGCTTCTGGGTCTGCAGCAGGAAGCCAGCCCTCGGCCCTGTCCCTGTCTCTGTGTCCCCGCTACCGGCCCTATACCGTCACACACCCGGGGGCGCCTCCGCCCTGTGCCACCCCACGGGCCTCGGGT